CCATGTGTCCTCCACCCCTATCATGGTTCCTGGCATAAAGTAATCCCTCATTAATATTTTGCAGAGTAACAGAATGAATACCCACCAAGCAATAATTTGTTACTAACATTGTGTTCTCTCTCTCTCTCACTCGATCGCTCGCTCTCTTGTCATTTACAGGCTTGAATTCATGGCCTGGGTACTGTTCCTGAGCTCTTCTGTTTAAAGCCAGTGCTCTACCACCTGAGCCACAGCTCCACTTCTGGGTTTCTGGTAGTTAAATGGAGATGAGTCTCATGGACTTTTCTTCCCGGGCTGGTTTTGAACTATGATCCTCAGATCTCAACTTCTAGGATTACAAGCGTGAGCCAGTGCACAACTGTGTGTTCTCTCGTCTAGGATAGAAAATGTGGGCTGGGAAGGTGGCTCAGTGGTAGAGTGCTTGCCTTACATGCATGAGGCCCTGGGTTCGATTCCTCAGTACCACATAAGCAGAAAAAGCTGGAAGTGGCACTGTGGCTCAAGTGGTAGAGAGCTAGCCTTGATCTGAAGAGCTGAGGTACAGCGCCCAGGCCCAGAGTTCAGGCCCCATGACCAACAAAAAAAGAAAAGAAAAAGGATAGAAAATGTATTCATCAACCAACATGAGCATTATAGGCCTCTTAAGCTTTTTGTTGGTGGTTGTAGAGCTTGAGCTCAGGGCTTGAGTGCTGTCCCTAGACCTGTTTTACAGAAAGCTAGTACTCTACCACTTTGAGCCACAGCTCTACTTCTGGTTTTGTTGTTGTTGTTGTTTTGTTTTTTGGTTAATTGGAGATAAAAGTCTCACAGACTTTCTTGTCAGGGCTGGCTTCAAACCATGATCTTCAATCTCAGCCTCCTGACTAGCTAGGATTACAGGTATGAGCCACTGACACCTGGCTTCCACTTACACCTTATATATTCACATACATGAATACCCAGTGCTGTCAAGAGGGTAAAATAGGCAGTGTATCAGGTGTAACAGAGTAGTATCATAAATTTTTGCTGGGTTACAACTCAAAATTTCACTTCCTGAAAAATACTCCTTAGCATTGTTGCTGAAGAAACTTTCCTGATTTCTATTCTCATATTTATTTCCTACCTGCTATTTCCTTTAGTAGGAATGCCTTTTTCCTCTTAGCTAATGATCTGCTAGTCTTGCAACACTTCCAGAGTCAACCCTTTATAGAAGCTTTTCTTAAATTGTATAGGTTAAGTTTGGGGCTCTTTCTCTATGTCACAGAGTCTTCTTTCATTATATGACAACACAGGAGCTTTCACTACAAGCCTAGGATGGGATCTGTACATGAAGAGATGCCAAAATGTTAAGTCCTGAATTCTAGGCCGAGTTTCTACTTCGGTGATTACAGGTAACTTAAGTATCAAGTCATTTACTTTATTACAATTTTAAAATTCTAATCTTCATGAACATTTGTAAGGCTAGGAAGTGTAAGAGTTGGATTAGAATTCAGGTATGACTATGCTACCTGCACTTTGTACCACATCAATGAGTAAAGTTTTGTTTGTTTGTTTTTTTTGCAGTGTTTTGGATTTAACTCAGGGGTTCTACCACTTGAGTAGCTCTCCCACCTCCTTTCTGCATTGGTTGGTTTTGAGGTAGCGTCTTGACTTACTCCTGAGCCAGACTGTGCTTCAATCCTACTTGTGCTTCTCCCTCTTGTGCTGAATGACAGGTGCACATCACAACACCGAACCGCTGTGCTTCCACCAGAGCTACAGTAACAGGCATGTGCCACTGTGCCCAGCCACTGGTTGAGATGGAGTCTTAGAAACGTTTATGCCAAAACTGGCTTCAATCTTTTTTTTTTCTTGCCAGTCTTAGGGTTTGAGCTCAGGGCCTAGGTAGCACTGTCCCTAAGATACTTTTTGCTCAAGGATAGCACTCTACCATTTAAGCTATAGCACCATTTCTGTTTAATCTAGTACTGAGGAATGGACCCCAGGGTTTCATGCATGCTAGGCAAGCACTCCACCACTAAGCCATATTCCCAACCCCTGGCTTCAATCTGAAATCCCTGATCTCTGCTTCCCAAGTAGCTAAGATTATACACTTGAGCCAGTGCTACAAGGCTACTGACTTTTTTTGGCCAGTACTAGGCCTTGTTCATGCATGAGGCCCTGGGTTCAATTCCTCAGTACCACATAAACAAAGAATTAATTAAAAAATAAACTAATACTGGGTTATAGTTACAAAAAAGATGGAATATGAAGGATTGAGTCTTGCCTTATTCCCCAGGGCCAAGTAAGCACCAGGTGGGTGCTCATGTGCTAGTCCATAGGCAGGTCATTCTGACCTTGGCCCTCAGGAGACAACAGCCTCCACACCCCAGCATTCCACTGTGGGCCTGGCCAAGGACATTGCCCTTGGTTCCAGGAGACCATAGCCCATTATTTTATTTTCTGCTTCCTTGTTAAACCCTATATGAGCCCACCCCAAAGTCCAGCTGCTTGCACAACCTCCAAACCCACGGGAAGGACTGTGCCCCTTGTTGTTCCTCAATAAATAGTCCTAGCCTGTTGACAATCGAAGTCTGGTCTATTGCTTTTCCCTTCTCCTCCATTTCTGCAACAACCACAAGGAGCAAAAAGAGACTGTAGGTTAAGTTCTAACAGCCTCCATAACAGAGAAGCTAAGCTGAATATCTAAAAGAAATATAAACAGGAACTGCAACCTATTTAAATCTTTTAGACCTCTAATATTCATGGTTGCCAGTTTAGACTCTGTGTGTGTGTGTGTGTGTGTGTGTGTGTGTGTGTGTGTGTGTGTGTGTGTGTGTGTGTGTTTGTTGTGTTTCTGCTACCCAGGTTGGTCTTGAATTCCTGGCCTCCAGTGATTTTTCTGGATTCAGCTTTCCCAGGAGCAGGGATACAAGCAAGTGTCAACAAGCCTGTTTACGCTATTTGTTATCAGTTTCACAATACACTAACGTAAGTAGAAGAGATTCTCCACCTTGATTCAGAAGATAAAATACCTGCTTAAAGATGCACTATAATGGGGGTAGAGGCAAAGAAAAAAAATAGTCAATTTCAGGCTTGACACTGGTGGCTCACGCCTGTAATTCTAGCTACTCATGAGGCTGAGATCTGAGAATTTTGGTTCAAAGCCAGCCCTGGCAGTTAAGTCCCTGAGACTCTTATCTCCAATTAACCACCAGAAACCAGAAATGGCTCTGTAGCTCAGGTGGTAGAGCCTGAGACTGAGGGACAGTGCCCAGGCCCTGAGATCAGTCTTTAGGACTAGCCAGAAAAAAACATCAATATCAGTAAGAGATCTCAAGAAATGGAAAATATATAGTGGAACCTTAGTTTTTCTATTACGGAAGGAAGGAAGGGAGAAAGAAAAAGAAAGAGAAGGAAGGAGGGAAGGTAGGAAGAAAGAAAAAAGAAGGAAGGAAGGAATAGAATGGAAGGAAGGAAGGAAGGGAGGGAGGGAGGTGGGAGAGGAGCACAGCATAAAATATGAGTGAAGTCAGTTCCTCTAATCCCTTCAAGCTCATTCTCTACTTTGCCATTAAAATCATCTTCAAATATGAACCTTTGCTTACTCTGCTGGGAATCTTAGGGATGAATGTTTCTACAGAGGAACACACTGAAACCTGATACTCATATTACATAAAAATGCAACAATATAAAGGAAATTCCCTGGCTCCATGAGAGGGCCATGTTGTACCTTGCAGGTTGTTACTTTCTTAAGTAAATCTTGCTTCAGTTTCATTAAATCCTTGCTAAACTTGGGCCCAGGGGTAGACCTATGCACAGCGCTGGGAGCACAAGCCCCAGGCATGCGTTGGCTCTATCACACAATTGATGGGTGTTAGTACTTGCTGATCTGGTTTCTGGGACAAGAACTTGGAAATTCTTATCTTTGTAGCTCTTATTTTCTGTCACCACTTTGGGAGATGTTTAATTCTTTGGAGCATCGGGACTGGCTCAATGTTTCTTATTTACTTCCAACACGAACTGTTTATAACTTCACTGAAAGTTTAACTGGAAGTCTCAGCAAGAAAGCCCAGAGCTTTCTCTCTCTCTCTATATATATACACAGGGCTATCCTAGTTGGCAAAACAGCTTAGCAAACGGTTGCAGCAGTGTACACTTATAGGATATTCAAAGTCCATTCGCTGACTCTCGTTCCTCTCCTCTCTCGTCCCTTACCTCATATTGAGAACAGAGAAGCTGGGTGGGGGAAAGGAAGCAACGGCAGACCAGAAGGTCGACGATCTTAAGAAAGGTGACCAGAAAGAGGAGTTTCAGGGAGAAAGAAAAGAAAGATGGTTGGTGCAGAGGTGAAAGACAAGTGGGAGGGTCGAGAAAGAGAGAGGAAGCAAGTCACAGCAGCGACGCAACAGGGTTGGAAAGTAGTAGGTCAAGGCCCCAAAAGAAGAGCTCAGAGGTAAAACGCGGGTGGGTACAGAGGGGGTGGAACTGGGCCGCCCTTTCGGGTGGGAACGCGATGATCAGCTAGAGAAGGGGTTCCTTTCGTGCACGGTTCAGAGTGGGCGGAAAGAATCTACGCCTAACTTCGTGGTCCCTCGACGCCAACCCTCACTCGCCTGCAGGATCCGGGCTCGTCCTGCCGCTGCCAACACCAACGCCGCCATGGCTCTCAGCTGTCTCTCCGCGGCTCCACGCGTCACCCGCGGAGCCAGGCCTCCTTAAGAACCCCGCTGCTACACCTCGCCCTCTATCAGAACGGATCCTCTAATTGGTGAAACGACTGTCTTCTCTAGCCAATCATTAGCCACAGCACCGACTCCCAACCCCTTCACTCTAGTCCGGGGAACAGGCGATTGGTTAGGAGCAGAAACGTTCTAGCTCCCACCTATTTTAGCCAATTTTGTTGGCGGAGATAAGGAAACACCCTGACTTGGATACCGAATAGTAAGCAGGAGAAGAAAGACGCCCCCTAATTGGGAATTCTGATTGGACACATGAACGACCTAGGCCACACCCCCTCAGTGAAGAAGGTAAATAAGACTGCGCAACTGGCGTGGCTGCTGTTAGGGGCGGGGTTAGGCAAATATTCCTCTAAGGGGCGGGGGAAGGGGCCCGGCCGCGCACTGGGGAGGATCTAGGGGCGTGGTTTGCGTTTCTTCGCTTTCCCGCCGACGGTTGGTCACGTCACGTGACATGGGCAGGAAGATGGCGTCTCCCACCGATGGTAAGAGCCGGTTTTAGAACTAATTGGCTTACCATCTCCTTCTTGCTTCTACGGGCACCGCTCTTGTCCGTTTGCCTCTTGCACGTATCCGTCTTTCTTGGGCTCCTCTCCTTTCTCGTCCTGCTTTTTCTTGGGTTGTAGGTCCTCGGTCTTCAGCAGCACGGGGTCTGCTGTGCATCAGGCGAGTGAAGAAAGCAGCAGCAAGACTTAATTCTGATGAAGGAATGGGTGTCAGCCCGGCCGTGTGGAGGCCGAGGGCTGTGGAGGAGACAGTGAAGAGGTTCCTGACTGTAGCTTTGTCCAGTCCGAGTGCAGGCTCTGTTCCTTGAGCAGCCCTAGCTGAAGTTGGTGATTGGCCTCACCTTCGGCCGGAATTGCCAAGTAAACCTCCTGCTGCTTTTTTCTCTCTTCTGTTTGGGACTGTTTCCCTAAGGGAACCAGCATCTGGGACTTTCTTCTTAGCTTGGCAATGAGTGCCTGAGGGAGATGAGAATTGAACTTTGTGTGTGTGTGTGTGTGCCCGATCCTAGGGCTTGAACTTCTGGCTTGGTCACAGCCCCTTAACTCGAGGCTGATGCTCTACCACTTGAGCCACAGTTTCACTTCCTGCTTTTTTTTTTTTTTTGGTGTTTAATTGGAGATGAGTCTCAAGGACATCCCTGCCCCGGCTGGCTTGAAACCTCAATCCTTAGATCTCAGCCTTCTGAGTAGCTAAGATTACATGCATGAGCCACTGCCTTTTTAATGGACACATCTCAACCTATCTTGACGTCCACTTTAGTGTTGATTCCTTGGATTGAATGAATGAAAGATTACTTCTATGTTATGCACATACAGGACATCTCAGGTATCAATTGTGTGGTTTGTGTCAGTGATGGAGTCATTTAATTTTTTCCTTTTGCCACTTCCATCCCTATGCTTCTTTCATTCATTGGCAGTTTTCCCCCCTTAAACACATTTTTGGTGTATGGAAGGATCTTGGAAGTTCATTTTGGGAATTGAGCAAACTGAGGCCAAGGAGAGCTATTTTAGGTACTTCACTATATGAAAGGCAAATAGGTGTTTTGGGAGATGCCAAGATGAACCAAACATGTACACTTTTTTTTTTTCAGTTTCAGGTATCGTTTTTTAGATGTTGCCTCCCAAAGACACTTTCCAAGAACACAGTATTTGGAGTTACCCTTTCTACCATTTTATTATTCAGCATATTACCTGTTAACTGTACTCCAGTCAGGTCCAATTATAATTCAAAGTCTAACGTTCATAATTGGATCCCAGAATTTATCACAGTGCCTGACAAGTAGTCAGCCTTCAACTAAAAGAATTGTTAGATTATATGCAGAAATAATGTAATCCCAGGCTGACCCTATCCTCTACCTCCTGAGTGCTGGGATTACAGGTTTGCATTATTGTGCCTGTTCTATTACTAGTAAGCTTTTATTTATTTGTTTATTTATTTATTGTCAGTCATGGGGCTTGAACTCTGGGCCTGAGCGCTGTCCCTCAGCTCCAGCTCAAGGCGAGCACTCTACCACTTGAGCCACAGTGTCACTTCTGGTTTTCTGGTGGTTTATTGGAGATAAGAGTCTTGTGGACCTTCCTGCCCTGGATGGCTTTGAACCACAATCCTCAGATCTCAGCCTCCTGAGTAGCTAGGATTACAGGCGTGAGCCACCAGCGCTCAGCTAAGCTTTTATCTTTTAATCTGAAAATATTCAGCACACTGAGCTTAAATACACTTTCTAAATGTTATATTCAGTTGAGTTTGTGTGTGTGTGTGTGTGTGTACGTGTACGTACCATTTGAACCATGCACCATCCTGGCATTTTGCTGGTTATTAGGAGATGAAGACTCACCAACTTGTTTGCCTGGGCTGTCTTTTAACTTCAATCCCCTCGATCTCAGCCTCTTAGGATTACTGGCATGAGCCAGTGGTGCTCTCTTCTCTTTGCTTCGTTTTCTGTTTAGTGTTTTTTTTTTTTTTTTTGTTAGTCATGGGCCTGAAAGCTGGGCCTGGGTGCTGTCCCTCAACTCTTAATCTTAGGCTAGTGCTCTATCCTTTGAGCCACAACACCACTTCCAGCTTTTTTCTGCTTAAGTGGTGCTGAGGAATTGAACCAAGTACTCATGCATGCAGAGGAAGCACTCTACCACTGAGCCACCTTCCCAGCTCCAGTTTAGTTCTTTATTGTCTCTCTCCCCTCCCACTTCTCTCCTCTTTTTTTTTTTTTTTGCCAGTTCTGGTGCTTGAGCTCAGAGCCTAGGTGCTGTCCCTGAGCTAGCTTCTTTATGCTTAAGGCTAGGGCTCTACCACTTCCAGCTTTTTCTGAGTAGTTTATTGAAGCTAAGAGTCTCATGGACTTTCCTGCTAGGGCTGGCTTGGAATCTTGATCCAGAGATCTCAGCCTCCTGAGTAGCTAGGATTGCAGGTGTGAGCCACTGTGCCTGGCCTCTTTTTTTTTTTTTTTTGCCAGTCCTGTGTTTTAAACTCAGGGCCTGAGCATTGTCTCTGAGTCCTTTTGTGCTCAAGGCAAGTGTTTTATCAATTGAGCCACAGTGCCACTTCTGGCTTTTTTGGAGTGTCATGGGCTTTCTTGCCAGAACTGGCTTCCAATGGAGATCCTCTTGTCTTAGCCTTCTGAGTAGCTAGGATTACAGACGTGAGCCACAAGCACCAGCTTTCTTGTTTACTAAGACTAACCCAGGATGGCTCTTCCCTCCATTTGCTGGAATTATAGACATGTACAGCCATGTTGACCTGACACTCATTTTTCTTCATAGTGCTCTAAAATATTGTTCCTGTTTTATAGATTATAAGAGTGAGGTTTGGTGATTAATTTGCATTATGTATGATCTAGTGCATCAGCAGGTATAGAACTCAGGTCACTAGACTTCCAATTAAATGTTACAGTTTGCGTTCCCCTCCCTCCCTCCCTTCTTCCCTCTCCCCCTCCCTCCCTCTCCCCTCTCTTTTCTTCTCTTCTTTCTCTCTTTCTTTCTTCCTTTCTTTCCTTCCTTTCTTTCTTTCTTCCTCAGTCCTGGGGCTTGAACTCAGGGCCTGGGCACTGTCCCTGAGCTTCTTTTGCTCAAGGCTAGCACTCTACCACTTGAGCCACAGAGCCACTTCAGGCTTTTTCTGTTTTTATGGTACTGAGGAATGGAACCCAGGGCTTCATGTATGCAAGGCAAGCACTCTACACCAAGCCACATTCCCAGCCCATATAGTTTATGTTCTTTAAGATTAAAATGTAATAAAATATAAAGTGTTTCATTGTCTCATAAGAATATTTTGTTCTAGGAACAGATTTGGAAGCATCTTTGCTAAGTTTTGAAAAACTTGATCGTGCTTCACCAGATCTTTGGCCAGAACAATGTAAGTTTTTGCTTTTTTCATATTACAGAGGATGTAGGAGAAAACAGTGCTTCCTTTGGAGCTTTGGTTTGTGTGTGTGTGTGTGTGTGTGTGTTTAAAGTTGTCATGTAACTATGATGATTAAAGTTTTTATTTCAGTTAAATGGTAAGAGCTGATGTTCAATGTTAAGAGCTATTTGGTAATTTTAAATGTTTTAAATAGTTAAATTTTCCAGGACATGATAAAGAGATTTTAAACATTAATCATTTTATTTTGTACTGGTCCTAAGCCTTGAACTCAGGGCTTCATATACTGGAGAACATTTTGCTGGTTAATTAGAAATGGAGTATCACAGACTTTTTTGTCTGGGCTAGCTTCAAAATCTTGATCCTCCAGGTCTTAGTTGTCTGTGTATCTAGGATTACAAGTGTGAGCTGGTGTCCAGCTTAAACTTTTTTTTTTTTTTTTGTGGGGCCTGAACTCTGGGCTGGGCGCTGTCCCTCAGCTCTTCAGCTCAAGGCTAGCACTCTACCACTTGAGCCACAAAAAAAAGCCACTTCCGGCTTTTTTCTTTGTGCTTCTGTGGTGCTGAGGAATCGAACCTAGGGTCTCAGGCATGCAAGGCAAGTGCTCTACTACTGAGCCACCTTTCCAGCCCAGAGCTTAAAACTATTTTTTAAAACTACATTGGGGAGGGAAGGGATTGTAGGAGAAAAACAAACGAGTGGATAACAATGTTCAACAAGAAATATACTCATTACCTTACTCATGTAACTGTAACCCCTGGGTACAGCATCTTTACAATAAAAAAAAAATCACATCAGATTTTCTCATATCCTTTAATCATTCTACTTAACTATAGGAATTTTGTAAATTGGTTGAACTTTTTTTGCTATTATAGATAAGTGAATATAGTTTTTAAATACATAAAAGGTTTTAAAAATATATTATCATTATTGTGTTGAATAGAGGGGTTACCATCTCATAGGTCAAGTAATGAGTACAGTTCCTTTTTTTTTTTGGTCCGGTTGTGGGGCCTGAACTTGGCCTGGGCGCTGTCCCTCAGCTCTTCAGCTCAAGGCTAGTGCTCTACCACTTGAGCCACAGTGCCACTTCCAGCTTTTTTCTTTTTGATTATGTGGTGCTGAGGAATTGAACCCAGGGCCTCAGGCATGCAAGGCAAGCGCTCTACCACTGAGCCACCTTCCCAGCCCATGAGTACAATTTGGACTATATCAGCCCTTCCTTCACCAGAGCTATGCATATGTGGTCTTTTACTTAACATTAAATCCAGCAGTTTTTCTTTTTTTTGGTCTTGGGGCTTGAAATCAGGGCCCTGAGCTGTCCCTGAGCTTTTTTATTCAAGGCTAGCACTCTACCACTTTGAGCCACAGTGCCACTTCCAGCTTTTGAGTGGTTAATTGAAGATAAGATTCTCATGGAGATTTTTCTGGTTTTGAACTTTGTGTCTCAGATCTGAGCCTCCTGAGTAGCTAGGATTACAAGCGTGAGCCACTGGTGCCTGGCACAAGTCTAGCTTTTTTTTCCCCCTTCTGTCATTGGGCTTGAACTCTGGGCTTGGGTGCTATCCATCAGCTCTTCAGCTGAAGGCTAGCACTCTACCACTTGCGCCATAGTACCACTTCCAAAGTCTAGCAATTTTTATGCTACACTACTTGAGTCACAGCACCACTTTTGGCTTTTTTTCTGAGTAGTTTATTAGAGATAAGAGTCTCATGGACTTTCCTGCCCAGGCAGGCTTGGAGCTGTGATTCTCAGATCTCAGTCTGCTAAGTAGCTAGGACTTACAGGCTTCAGCACCAGTGGCAGGTAGCTTCTTCATTCCTTTAAATATATTTCATTGTATACAAGCATTATAGTTGGTATATTAGTGTACTGTTGAAAATCTAAAATATATCAGGGTTTTTAGTTTATTAACAGTTTATTAGTGAATATCTTTGCATATAAATTTTGGTGTACATGGAACAGGATGACTATGAGAGTGTATTTTCTCACATACTAGCTAACATTGGATTTTATGAATCTTTATTATTTTTAGCTTGATTTCTTTATTCATGAGGTTGGACATTATTTTGCTTTTAAATATTTGTGTGTGTGTGTGTGTGTGCGCGCGCGCGAACACTTTCTGGTCCTGGGGCTTGAACTGTGTCCCTGAGCTTTTCTTTTCTTTCTTTTTTTTTCTTGGGGGCGGGGGAGGGGCTGGTCATGGGACTTGAACTCAAGGCCTGGGTGCTGTCCCTGAACTGTTTTGCTCAGGGTTAGTGCCTTACCTCTCTGAACCATAGCTCCACTTCTGGTTTTCTGATGGTAAATTGTAGGTAAGAGTTACACAGACTTCCTTGCCCAGGTTAGCTTTGAACTGTGATCTTAAGATCTCAGCTTCCTGAGAAGCTAGGATTACAGTAGTTAGCCTCCAGTACCATGCTCTGGGCTTTTCTTTTTTTTTTTTGCTTAAGACTAGCATTCTAGATTGGGATGTAGCTCAGTGTTGTCCTGGGTTCCATCCCTAACACCAAAATGAATAAATAAATAGAAAAGAAAATACCAAAAAAAAAAAAAAAGCAGCTAACAATTTGGCCCGGAATGTGCCTTAGTGGTAGAGTGCTTACCTAGCATTCATGAAGCCCATTCTTCAGTACCATATAAACAGAAAAAGCCAGAAGTGGCACTCTGGCTCAAGTGGTAGAGTGCCAACCTTGAGCAGAAGAAGCTCGGGGACAGTGCCCAGGCCCTGAGTTCAAGCTCCAGGACTGGCAAAATAAATAGAGAGAGAGGGTGGGGGTGGGGGGGGGAGGGTTACTGAATTATTTTTTTTTAAAAAAAAGACTAGTATTCTACCACTTGTGAGCCACAGCTTCACTCCCAGTTTTTTGGTGGTTAATGGGAGGTAAGAGTGTAAGGGCTTGAAACCAAGAAGCCTATCATGCCTTTGGGTGGAAGCCCCAGTGTTGCAAAACAAAAAGGACATTGTATCCTACCACTGGTCCAAGGAATTCCTAGTCCTTTAAAGTTTGGTTGAGACATTGTTTTCTCAGAGGAGGTTTTCCCTTGTCCTTATTTTGACTTGATGTCTGGTTTTTGGTCTATTCTCATAGTACCTAACATCATTCTTTTTTTTTTTTGGGTCCGGTCGTGGGCCTGAACTCTGGGCCTGGGTGCTGTCCCTCAGCTCTTCAGCTCAAGGCTAGCGCTCTACCACTTGAGCCACAGTGCCACTTCTGGCTTTTTTTCTTT